TGTAGAAGTTCTGAGTTTTCAACAGCCATCACACAGCCGACGTGTTAATTTTTGCAAAATTCATGATGCAGGCAGCTATGTCTGCATACGTGGAGCCGGACTCCACGCTTTTCGAAGCCGGTTTGCCTCTGGGAGGACCTGCACATCATGCTGGGCTGGCCAAAAAAGGCAGCCCAAGGTTGACCCTTTCTTCAGAGTCACATACATTGGATCTGCGCATGGGAGGGGGGCTGCGCCCCCCCCAACCCCCCCGCTTACTGCGGACATACATTGGGTATGCAAATGGGCGGAAGGGCTGCGTTTCGACGCCGGTTTGCCTATGATGAAAGGCCCTGCTGGTTGGCCCAAAAACCGGCTTGCACCAACTTCATATCTAGAAGTTATGAGTTCGCAACAGCCGTCACAGAAGCGACGTGTTGAAGTTTTTTTGTAAATTCCATGCTACAGCAACTCTGTCTGCATGCGAAGGGCGGGCCACACGCTTTTCGAAGTCGGTTTGCATGATGCCAAGAAAAAACATCCCAACCCCCCCGCAACCCCCCTGCTTTGGTTTTTGTGCCGCGCATGGCTGGCTGTGAAGAACGTCGCGCCGTCAAGATGTTCGAAACTCCATGCCATGCAAGTGTGACGGCCGTCTGCAACCGTGGGGCCGGCGCCCTCCGCTGTTTTGTAGCCGCGCAGGCTGATGTTTTTTGCAGGGGCGGACTCTCCGAAACAAGTCTTCAACAAGACAAACCAAAACGACACTTTTTGCCCTGCGACAAAAACAAGTAACGTGGGTTTTCCTTAAGAATCCCCGGAACATGGCACGCAATCCAGGGAATAGTGTTTTCCTCAGGACAAATCAAGAACACGGCCAGGCAGGGCGTCAATCACAAGTACAGACGTGCAGAAGCTCTGAGTTTTCAACAGCCATCACACAGCCGACGTGTTATTCTTGGAAAATCCATGATACAGGCAGCTATGTCTGCATACGTGGAGCCGGACTCCACGCTTTTCGAAGCCGGTTTGTCTCTGGGAGGACCTGCACATCATGCTGGGCTGGCCAAAAAAGGCAGCCCAAG